TTAAATATTTGAAGGCTTTTTTTGTTTTAATTTTGATTATGATGGCTTACAGTTCATGAAAATAAAAAATCCAAAGTGAAAAATTATTCAAATATTTCAGAAACACAATAAAAAAATTATTTACATTATAGAAATATCCAATTTTTTTAAGTACCTTTATTGACACACTCATCCTTGGTTGAGGCTCCTTTACTAAACACATCACTGCGTCCGTCTTGCAGGTGATCCTTATTGGGTTGTTGAAGCCCAGGTTGCTTTGATGGCAGCTTTCAGTCTCTGTTTTTGTGTTTCTCATCTTTGACATCGCTCCACGTGGGCTTTCTTTTGGGTTCCTGTCAGGTGAGCTGGCCGGCCAATCAAGCGCAGTAACACCGTGGTCAGCAAACCATTCGCTCGTGGTTTTGGCGCTTTGAGCAGATTTTAAGTCCTGCTGGAAAAGGAGTTTTAGCATCTCCATAAAGCTGGAGGTGCTTTAAAATGTGCTGGTGGATGCTGTGTTGACTCTGGACTGAAACACAGTGGAAGGAGGCCAGCAGATGATATGACACCCCGAATCATCACAGATTGCAGAAGCTGGATGTAGTGCGTCTCCGTTCTTTTCCAGACTTTAACCCTTGATTTCCAAAACAGACTTTCATCTGAAAACATCTGGACCGCTGAGCAGTTCTTTTTCTCTGTAGCTTCTTTCCTGAAAACGTCGTGGCTCTCGCTGCGCTGACATCAGCCTCGGTCCTCGTTAAGCTCCTCCAAGTACCTGAATGGCCTTTAATTGACAATCCTCTCACGGCTGCTGTTGCTTTTGGTTAAAATATGAGCCTTTGTGCTGCATATTCAACAGATCTCCTCCATTCTCTGCTTAACTTTTGATTGATTGGTTGAAAAAGAGCAAAAAATAAATGACAAATATGTGTTTGTTTGAAATGTATTTATAAAGAAATGTAGAGAACAGGCTGCTGAGGTGCAGTTTGGCTGAGACAGAAACGCAGGCTTCACGGTCGAGGCAGGGACAGTTCCTGGTATTGATTTATGTAAACAGCGGAGCCTGGTGGGCTACATGGGGGCGTTCGTAGAGCTCTGTGCTGATCAGCAGCATTCTGATGTCGAATCTTGAGGGGAGATATCGAGACTTCATATTAGAAATGATCTAATCCAGCAGAAAGGTGTTGGTTTACGTAACCGTGAAGAGAATATTTGGATTTTTAAGCAAAAAAAACAAAACAAAATGCGTTGGCATCAAAAAACATAGACTAAAGAAAAGTAGTGGCCCTGAAAATTTAAATACGGTCATTAACGTTTATGTATAGTGTCTTAACTTAAGCTGTTTCCTACGAGGTGGTTCAGTGGTTAGCACCGTCGCCTTACAGCTAGAAGGTCGCCGGTCTGTGTCCCGGTGAGGACACCCGGGATCTTTCTGCGTGGAGTCTCCATGTTCTCCCCGTGCAGCGTGGGTTCTCTCCGGGTTCTCCGGCTTCCTCCCACAGTCCAGAAACATGTTGAGGTTAATTGGTGATTCTAAATTGTCCGTAGGTGTGAATGTGAGTGTGCTTGGTTGTCTGTCTCTAAGTGTAGCCCTGTGATAGACTGGTTACCTGTCCAGGTGAACCTGCCTTCACCCTGAGTCAGCTGGGATAGACTCCAGCCCCACTAAACTCCAGCGGTGTATAGATTATGGATGGATGGGATGATTTGCTAATTCTTCTAATTTGCAATCTTATCATCTCGTTTATGTGCGTCTGTCTTATTAGTGTCCACTTGTTATGCTGTCTGGTGTTGAATTCAGTGACAACGTACAATAAAGTATAAGAACATCACGTCCTCGTTATGTAACATCTGGATCTGCCAACTAACGAGCAACACACAAAATTAATGTAGTGAAGTAAAAAGCACAATATTTCCCTGGAACAGAAGTATGACGTACCAACGAACCACTTTCTATGTAAAAGCAGTATGTGGTGTCCCTGATAGATAAATTAATAAAGTAAAAACGCATTTTATTTCCCCTTTAGGTGGCGAAAGAGAGCAAAGCAGCTGTCAGTGGTGTCGCATAAACATGCTTAAAAATCAACTGTAACTTCAGATCTGCTCATTTAAAACTCACACGATTGTATTAGACTTTTTTTTAATTTCCTATCCACAAAAGAGATCATTCATCTTTAAAGGAAGTGAATTCTTTTCCGTGCAATGTGCTGTAATCAGCTGCATCAAGGCTGCAGTGAAAACATCTGACAGGAGTCACCTTTATTGGCAGCAAAAATAAATGTGGAAAAAAAAAACCCAGTCTATTTTTAACTCTGTCCCTTTTCATACGGCGCTACGAGGGGCAGCGGCGCCGCAATGTAAAGGCAGAAAACGCTGCTATAAATCATGAGAGATGTTATCTGCAAGGAGAAAGTTTCTTGGCTAAAAATGTCAGTTTGAAGATCAAGGGTGTCAGAAAGTTCTTATTTATTTACCACTTTTGATCTTTCCAGTAAAGATCTAACAGACGCAGCCGAAAGGAGTTCATGGTAGAAGCGTTACCCCGAGATGAAGAAGTGCGTTTTTCTGGACATGAATTCTGCTTTAACATGTAAAGAATGCTGAAAGTTTGAACACGTGTTAGAGGGACGGAAAAGTCAAAGCGTAGTGACGGTACAGGTACAGAAAAGTAAAGTCTGAGTGGCAAGATAACGTCACGTAAATTG